CCTGCCAAGGCATGCAAGGAGACGACGAAGGCGTTAGCATCTGGCTGCTCCTGGGCGGTCTGCTCCTCCGCCTGTACCGCAGCAACTGCGGCACCGTCCTCGACCGACGCCGCGTCATCCACGATGCAGTCGTCGGCAGCGATGTAGAGGAGTCGGTGGCAGACGTGACCGGGGGCGTAGGTCTCATCACAATTGAAGCAGAGCCCCCGGCGTCGGCGCTCCGCCTGCTCTGCTGGTGTTAGGCGGCGGAACACGCGACCCTCAGGCGGCGCATTGGCCGTAGCGGCCCCTTGGCCTCCCGGCGTTGGAAGAGCTGCGGCGGCGCGGCCAGGTGGTACTGGTCGCGGGGGCGGCCGTGCACCGCGCGTAGGGGGCAGCGCCTGCATGGCTGCTGCCCGTCGCTCGAATGCCCGCGCATAGTGCATGGCCGTTTGGAGGTCTTGGGGCTCTTGCATCTCCACGTCGGCCCGGATATGCTCCGGAAGGCCGCCCATGAAGAGCTCGGCACGCTGTAGGGTAGAAACTCCCGGGGCGTGGCATGCCAAGGCCTGGAAGCGCGCGGCGAAATCCTGCACCGTCGTGGTGAAGGGCAGCCGGCCTAGCTCAGCCAAGCGGCTACCCCGTAGTGGTGGCCCGAAGCGCAGGCGACAGAGGTCCCGAAAACGCTCCCATGGTGGCATCCCTTCATCTTGCTCCAGGGCGTGGTACCAGGTCTGCGCCTCGCCCTTCAGGTGATAGGAGGCGAGCCAGGTACGGTCAGATGCTAGCGTACGCTGGCCCCTGAAGAATTGCTCACACTGGTTGAGCCAATTCAGGGGATCCACGGAACCGTCGTACGTGTGGAATTCCAGCTTATAGAACCTGGGCGGCGCTGGCGGAGGTCCGTCATCAGAGGATCCCCCTGCAGGAGCTGCTGGCACCGTGGCCGACGTCGCCGACGACTGCAGTGTACCCCCATGGAATAGAGTGCTCGTCGGCGCCCCCGTACAGGACGCCGGACGCCGGAACGCCCCCATGCGTGACGCCCAAGCCCGTGGAGAGCAGGGGTGGCATGGAGGGTTGGGAACACGCTGTAGTGTAGACGGGTGACACCGACGCCTCTGACAGGCCCGTGATCCAACTCGGCAGCTGCAACGGCGACCGGGGAAACGCGATCTGTGTGATCGGTACTCCAGTGGACGGGGGCGGATGCACGGCCTGGTGTGTCGAGGAAGCGGACCCGTCGTAGGGCATGCCGTACTGGTAGGAGACGACAGGTGTAGCGGCCGCCGGCTGCGGTGGCGGAGACGGCGCCAGCAGGGCCTGCTGGTACGTTGGCTGCGGCGCCGGCAGGACCGGCTGTGCCTGCTGGTACGGCTGGTAGTAGTAGGGCTGAGGCGGCGGCTGGGTCGCATACGGCCCCGCGAGGAACGAGCGGATGCCTGCAATGGCCTGGCCGATCTCGAGAACGGCCGCCGTCAGTTCAGCGGGCGTCATGACGGGGCCCTGCGGTGTCGCATATGGGGCGACCGCCCCGAGGTGGCCCGATCGCGGGCGTCGTCGAAGGCGGCAAAGCGTGGTGGTGGAGGAAGGGGCTGCGTCGCGGGAAGTGGCGGCTGCGGGTGCCCCGTGCTCGTGGATGGGGGCAGCGGCGGCGGCATGGTGGAGGCTGGTGGGGGTCCCGACATCGCACCTGTGAGCTCTGATACCAAATTGATAGGATTGCGGATCCTACCAGCTATGGTTCGGAGGTTGTAGGGATGGTGGATCGGAGGACGGGAACGGAAACGGCGCTGGGGCGCCGTGTTCTCGATCTAGGGGAAGGAGGAGGAGGCTAGGGTTGTTATGAAGTCTCCCGGCTCCCTAAGGGAAGCCGAGCAGATTGATTGCTCTTGCTTAATTGTTTCAATTCCTTACAATAGCTATATATAGCAAATAATGAAAATACTAATGGGCCTTGCACCTAACTAGCCACTAATGGGCTTCTGTCTTCGTGCATATGACCGACCGGTCATAACACCTAGCTGCTCTTTGGTAAGTGCTTGTGCCGTTTTTTTAGATGAAGTGTTTGTGCTTTTCAGGGTTCATTCAGTTGTTCATACATGACAACACTGAGATCAATGTGGAACTTTGTCAGGCACATCTAATATAAGTGAAAGCACTATCCACTATCAAAATAGAGAACAACAAAGTTTCTTCTTATTGTGAAAAACAGAGAATAGTGTTCCCAGCAGAACAACGCAACTGGTTTTTTTTTTCTGAAACAGAATATCAATGTTTCTGGTTCTGTAAAACAACTGAAAGAATTTTTTAAATTAGTTTGGTCACCACTAAGATAATTTTGGTAGTAGTTGAGGTGCTTTCACAAGTTAAACCTGCAAGGGAAACCTTTTAGGTAACAGATCAGTTAACATTTGGCATCACGAAAGTTCATGCCATCATGGATGAGCTATTGTAAATGCATAGTCACACAGCAAGACTACCAAGACAATCTATTTGGTTTCAGTCGCATCTTTCTACCACAACAAAACAACCTCCCGTTTCAAGGAATACCAATCTAAAAATTCTAAACACCCTCTCATGGCTTCAAATTAAACTTATAGAGTTCAATTTATCTACTCTGGGTCATCTAGAGTGGTAGAGCACTTTACTGTTTCACATGGTAAGACCATAAGAGAAGCTGCTCTCTGCATGATGCATGTTTGCTTTCGTTGGTCTTTTCCTAAAGTGAGGTTCCCTTCTTTATTATCTTTAAATAATTATTTACTGTAGTTTATACAAGATCTTTGGAGGTAAACAAACAGATGCTCAGTCAGTTCTTTATATGTTAAAAAGAACCTTTTCGGTTTGTTTATTCATTTATTGGGCTCTTAATTTCAGGATTTTAATGCCTTTTCTTATTCCTATATTGCTTCTCCTAATTTTTCCAGGCTCTTGAATTAGTGTGGCATAGTGCTGGCAGATCCTGGGTATTCGGAGTGGATGACATGCTGAGTGAATATAACAAATGGATGATCACGAGTTCGTGGGAACGATGTCATCAAGTAAAAAGAGAACAGTACTAAACCGACTATCTTGTATTCTTCTTGGCTTGCTGAATGGTAGCATATATTATTTGTAGATGTTGTAATATTTGCTAGCTGCACTGCCTCAAATGGGAAAATGTTTTTTAGTGGAGATCAAGTCATTCCATCATAATTTATTGACAACTAGCATAGGGCAATATTCACATATCTCTTTATGCTTCACTTTATGATGCCCAAACCGTCTGTAATGTTTTTTACATGCTTGATAATTGATATTGACAACTAGCTGGTTGAAAACCTTTCATCCAAGAAAATAAATTTTCCTTTTGAATGGTTTTACAATTAAGGACATCTATGTCTTCCTAACTGATGGTGGCTATTTTTACATGTATCTCACACTGACAGGTTTGTGGGAAACTATAGAACCTTGGCAGAAGTAGCATGCTACAATTGATGAACAACCCGCCGACTGCCCAGTTGCATTGAGATGTTTAATTCTGGATGCTTGCGATAGGTTTGTATGTAAGCCTTCCATTTTTCATTATGCAACACTATTACTGTTCCATAAACATTTAGGTTTTTGTGGGATTGAGATACATCTTGACATTCTCTGAATCTCGGGTTGAGGATTGGCGCAATGCGAGGTAGACTCCGAGCTAGGGAAGCGTTGCCGAAAGGACTCGATGCTGGTCGTTAGCCTCAACTATGCATAGAAGGCCCTTTCAACCCACCTAGCTTTGATAACGTCATCTACTTTGTTGTCGTCTAGGAAATTTTTTCTCTATCACGATCCAGGAAATTAAACTTGTGTTGGTACTTATGGGAGCCCGTGATCTTGTGAGTGCTCTGGACACATGGTCATCCAGGCAAGGGGATTCGAGGATACATCCTATGCCACGAGCTCAAGGTGAAGCAGTCGTGTGGCATACAGTTCAGACATAATATTATCTTTGTTCATTCAATCTGCCAATGCCAATATGGTTTGTTACCGGAGGATTCCTGATTTTTACAGTTCTATACAACTGAGTTTTCTTTTTGTCAAGGCTATAATTGTCATTTAGGTTATGTACAAAAATTTAGCTGATGAATAGTAAACTTTTGGTTTCGGTAAATTGGTTGTATATGGAATTCTACAGTACCTTAGTTCACAAAAAGAAGGAATTCAATATTTACTGCATGTTATGGGATTTTACATATGTTTTACCCGTAGCAACACACGGGCACTCAACTAGTACATAGAAAAAAGTTCAAAACATAAGTGCGAATAACGTCAACAATGCTATGCAACTAAGGAAGACATAATATGCAGAATTGCAGATCCGGTAATAAAACTTTGACATTTGGTGATCAAAAGGAACACCGACGGAGCCACTGATACAAGGAATAGGATGTAGAGATGAATTGTACTATAGGATACAAGGTATTGTGGCAACCTTGAGCCCATAGATATAGAGCTCAAGGTTTATGCCATTAACCAACCAATAAAAAAAGATATATAGAGCGTACTGCAGACCAGTCATGGCAGAACAGCAATTTTCTGGTGGTAATAAATGTTGAAGAAATCATTAACTTTAGAACATGTCCATAATGATATACTAGTAGTGCAATTGCAATAATTCTGAAAATGAACAGTCCATATAGTAAACCTATCATTACGTACACTCCAACTTGCAGTGTGAGGTTACCTTTCAACAAATCTAGCTAGAGAAGCTAAACACATTGATCTTCCATGAAGGCTAGCAACACCTAAATGCCTAATTAGAGGCTCACAAATAAATGACAAATACGTCAAACGGCACCACAGCTAGAAAAGAAGAATAAAGCTTACAGGTTTATTGGTTCATTTTTTTTAAAAAAGAATTCTCGCAGGAGCATGGCGTGATGCCGGTTGATCTAACTCTGCTGCAGGAGCATGGCGTACATGACGTGGTTCCACGCGTCTGGGAGCCCCGCGATGAAGAATTCTCGCAGGAGCATGGCGTGATGCCGGTTGATCTAACTCTGCTGCAGGAGCATGGCGTACATGACGTGGTTCCACGCGTCCGGGAGCCCCGCGATGCACCAGTGCGTGCAGTCCATGCCATCCCGCCCCGGCCCGCCGTAGACGGACGGGTGCGCGTCGATCCTGAGCTGCGACAGCGCCGTGATGTCCAGCAGCGACACCGGCGCCGTCATGGCGTCGAGGACGCCCCGCACCACGGCCTGCACCGGGGCCAGGCTCGTCCCCCCGCCGGCCGCGTCCGTGGCTTCCTGCAGCGGCCGCGTCTGCTTCAGGCAGCTGCCTCCGCCTCCCGCTGGTGCCGTCCCTGCTTGGCTCTCCTGCTGCTTCGACCTACATACACACAATATTCCAGTTTGTTTGCACGCGAGATCAGATACGGACACAGGGTCTGCATCGGCTGGTGGGAACAGAGCTCCGAGCTCACGTACATGTAGTGGCTCGGGGAGATGCCCTGGTAGAAGACCCTGGTTTTGGAGGCGTCGACGTTGGCGTCGACCCAGCGCGCCCATGTGGAGAGGGCCTTGGAGAAGGCCGTCAGCCGGTCCATGTCCCGGTACGTGCTATTCCCGTCCTGCACGTAGTCCCACCTGCACGCACGTCGAGCAGGGCATTTGGCATCATTGGCTTCGATGAACACAACAGTGGTATGTGTAGCTTCGGGTTGTGGCGACTGGCGACCCCATACACTTGGCTGGCGCCCCTGTAGGTCCACCAGTGCCATGTGTTGAAGACGAGCAGGTGCGCGCCGAGCCACTCGCTGGCGTTCCGCATGGAGTCCAGCTTGAGCACCCGGCCGATGTCCTCCTGCACGACGTCCACCAGGAACGTGGTGTGGTACAGCACCAGTAACAGGTCGTAGTCCTGGCAGATTGAGCAGATGGATCAGGCAGAGCTGGTTGTTGGTTGTTGACACTGTCTGTCTGTACATTCCGATCGATCCGGACGAGAGCTCAGCTCAGCTAGCTAACCTCGAAGCGCACGGCCGAGACGGGCTCGCCGCTGGTGAAGGTGGCGCGGACGGGAGCGGGGGCGGCGGCGTGGAGCATGCAGGCGAGGGACACCCACTGGTTCATGCTCAGCGAGTCCCCCACGAACATCACCGTCTTCCCGCGCCACCTCCTCAGCAAATCCCCGCCGTCAAACCTACATATGTATATATTAGAGAGAGTGAGTGAGCTGAGCAGCGATCGAGCACTTTGCACTTGGGCATGCAGCTTGTGATGATCCACCGACCTGGGCAGCCGGCAGTTGCCGGGGCTCCACCGGAACTTGAGGTAGTCGTCGTCGGGGCGGCCGTTGCGGCGGCAGTCGAAGACGTCCGGCACGAACGGGCAGGCGGACGCGTCGTACAGCGGGTACGACTTGTCCGCCACCCACCTCCCCCGGAACAGGTCGCAGCCACCAGGAGCCGAAGCCGCCGACGGGCCGTCGCTCGCGCCGCGCACCAGCAGGTGAGGAGCAGCTTCCGCTACGACGACGACGACGATCGTCAGCACCCAGGCATGGCAGATCGCCATGTTTAATTTGCATTGCCCGGGGGCAACGGCAGTGGCCGCGTCATTATATATAGCGACATGGATCGATCGCTTGGTTTTGAAGCATATATATATCCTGCCGCTGCTTCCTAAGCTGGCTGCTGCGCGCATTCTCTCGGATCGATCGCTGCGTAGCGTAGCACAAGGCCTGCTTGGAGTCTAACTCAAGTTACTCAGCTGGCTCGGCTGGCTATATAGGTAATGTGAATCTTTGTAGGTGCCATTTGGACCCAAGGTCATGTGATGTGAGGGAGAACGGAGTGGACCTGATTTTACCATGGCCCGCTTATCCGGACGAGACACGTGAACGCTGCGTGCGGAGGTAACGTCCAGCGTGGAATTCTCGTCAAAATAATAATGTGGAGCGTGGATCTCAGAGTGCTTGGTGCAGCGGGGTTCTAGCGTACAATCGAGGACAGCTAACTTATTTTAAACACTCACTCTTTTGCCCCTGAGGCCTTGTTTAGATATACGTGTATTCCCTACAATTCCACATGTATTGGAGTAAAATGAAATGAAACTTATTTTAATTCTACTCCAATTCACTTCAACACATGTGGATTGAGGTGAATACATGCGCATCCAAATATGGCATAATTGTATATTAGCTCTGCCTGCTACAATGGATGCTTGGTTTGTTTATTCCAGGAAGAGAAAGAAACAACCCCTCCTATATAGTACGCGCTTCAGTGCTCGTGCTTGGAGGAGTCATGCCAAAGTGTCTTGAGATCTTGCACTTGGTGTCATGGCTAAAACTCCAATCCATGCACATTGTCCCCGCCAAATCATTTAGAACCGTACCATCACGAAAAAGATATCGCTATCAGATTTCAGTGATAGTTGATAGAACTCATGCCAGAATTGATAAGGCATTTTGTACTGCAGATTAGGATATGATGCTGCCTAATTGCAATTTAGGAGCGCAGTCGTCATTGGTATCATATCACTGCCCGCTCCTGCTTGTTGGTAACACGACACCACGACCCAAGATCCAGATACATGGAGGTGGTGCAAGATGCTTAGTTGAAGGCCACTATCTTTGACCAATCTTTTTCTACGGCTGCACACAAAGCTGCGGCGCACACAAAAGGCTTTGAGATCTTGGTCTAGGAATGTAATTGGGAATAACAAGCTTCACTTGGTGGCTGCAAGACAACTCATTTGGATTTTTGATGTTGTGCAAGAATATAGAAATCTCTCCTGCTGAGTCTCCTTCATCAATAGTTCAAATTGTGCTTCTTGGGACTGACAACAGTAGAAAAGTTAAGGACTAGGCAAGCAACTATGTTAAAGGTAGCTAATACTAATTCAAAACACTTCTCCTGATAGCAATTTGCAGCATGAGGAAAAATCTTATACAACAATGATGGGAACGGGGATCCAAATTTTTCATCAGGTGGAGGAAACTATATATTGGAGAGATGTGGCACACCGATCTTGCAACCTTAGCACCACACCTCTTCTGGTTGATAACCGTGTCACTCCACCGATTTGATAAGAAACGTGGCGAGGGGGAGTGTCGGTGCGAAAAGTGACCAACACGTAAATATTTGTAGTTTTGCCGTACGTTGTGATCGGATGTGGCCTAGCACTCAATGACACAGGGTTTATACTAGTTCAGGCAACGTGTCCTACGTCCAGTTTGAGTCGGTCGGTGACTTTATTCCTGAGCCCAGATGCTCGAAGTTTGTTGTGGGGTTACAAACGAGAGGGAGTAAGATGGGGGGTGTAAGAGGTCCGGTCGGACTCTGAACTGAAGGGCCGAGAGTGACAGGAGCTCCTACGTGCGCTAAGTATTCGAGCGTGTGCTCTGTGCGGCTTGGGATGTCCAAAGCTAGCAGAGAGTGAGCCAGAATGATCCGTCTGTTGTTCGTTGGGATCCTCTATGTCGTTCGGGTTGGTCGTCCTTTCCTTTTGAAGAGAGCGCATCCCTTTTTATAGATGAAGGTGATGGCTTTACAAGAGAGAGAGTGTGAGAGAAAGAGAGTGTGTGTGCTACCTAGTCTTGTTGCCCACGCCGTCGGGTACAAGGTGGTTTGTCGGCGCTCATAATACTGTTGATGGCTAGATGCATGTGGTTGGTTCTACCGTGTTCTTCTGGTATGGCAAATGTCGGCGCCTACTATACTGTAGGTAAAATGTCGGCGCCCACAACACTGTTGGTGTTCTGACATGTCTGGAAGGTTATAAAGTACCCTTTTGACATGACCTGACAGTATTGTCCTGCAGGTGTGCAGGGTATGGTCCTTAGTATTATAGTTGACTGGAGCACCCCGCCTTACTTGCTCTGTCCGTTTCCTGGGTCTTCACCGAGCGGGCGTCCTCGGTCGGTTGTTCCCCAGTCGGCTCCGGCCTCCCGGTCGGAGAAGAGCTGTAAGCAGAGGTTCGGTGTATTCTCGGTCGGAGAAGCGGGTCAGAGTCAGAAGCGAGCGTCGTTCCTCCTTGGCTAGGCCTTCCGGTCGGAGAGGTGGGCCGGAGTCAGAAGCAAGCGCCGTTCCTCTCCTTGGCCAGGCCTTCCGGTTGGATAGGCGGGTCGGAGTCGGAAGCGGGCACCGTTCCTCCTTGGCCAGGCCTTCTGGTCGGAGGCTGGATCACCCTTCTGGCTTGTCGTTAGGTTCTTTGGGCCGGCCCAGGAGTTGCGCGTCGTTCACAACGTCGTTTGCTGGGCCGAGCTTTTGCTGGGAAGCAGATCCATGAGGGACCTCAGGTTTATGAACTCGACAGAAGCCCTCGAGCCCCCGGGCGATTCGGGTAGAATCATCTAGGGGATTTTTTGTCTTGACAGCGGGTGTGTGCAAGCACACCCGCGGGTGTAGCCCCCGAGCCCTCGGGCGATTCGGGTAGAATCGTCTGGGGTTTTTTTTTTCGTTTTGACAGCAGGGGAATTTTTTGTTTTGACAGCGGGTGCGCGTGAGCACACCCGCGGGTGTAGCCCCCGAGCCTGCGTTCCGACTGGTTTGTCGGTTGGAGGCTAAGCATCTTGGTACTCTTTTCCATGGGCCGCAGACTGTCGTTCGGGGTGTTCGCCCGTGTTTGTCCCGCCCATGACCTGCGCGGTCGGTTGATTTCCTGAGTCGGTGTTGGGCGACCTGAGCCCCTAAACCCCGTTGGGCTCGGTAGGGGTTGGTCTAGTTCAGTGCGTTACCCCGTCCATGGTTTCCACAACTAGAGGGCTGAGCTAATGTCTCTTGCCTCGATGGCTCGAGTGATGCGCTCGGTGAGCTCGCTAACGGGTACGTTTGAGTGGAATCCGGGTCCATCATTCGTGACGGGGTTGGCATAGCCCTCATGTGGCATTCCATTGCTCCTTAACCCATGTCCCAGCAGATGCTCGGGTCATTCCAGAGACCGACTCAGGTGGCCCACTGGCCTCCCCTCGATGGAGATTCTGTGGGCATGGCTCAAAGTTAGGATCGAACGAGAAGGTTGAGATGACCCTGTCTGCTTCGGAGCAGATTGGGCGAGGGCCGCTGGGGCTCATCTACATTTTCTCCCTTGGCTCTGTTTGACGTGAGGCGGCCTTGAGCCCTTCGTGGGCCGGCCTTCGAACCTCGGTCGGTCGTTGCTCATGTTGAATGAGGCAACTATCGCTTTGTGACGCAACACAGAGCGTTGTGATGCATCAATTGCATATGCGATGCTTCGGATGTATGGGATGAATGAATGACTGTATGAATGAATGTATGAATGCGTGTATGAGAATGGATGAATGAATGTTTATGCATTCAGAAAATCAAATAAAGTAAGAGGGGTTGGTAGAGTTACCTTGATGACTCGAGTGACAGGCTTGAGGAGTCTTTATCAGATATGTCCGAATGGGATCCGTGTTCGTCGTTCGTGACGGAGTCAGCATGGCTCACATGGGGCGTCCCTATGCTCCTTACCTGTCTCTCGACATTTGCCTGAGCCGTTCGATCGACTCAGGAGGCCCGTTGGTCTCTCCTTGGTGGAGATCCCATTGTTGGGCCCTTCCAAGTCTTGCCTAGGAAGGCGGAGGGCCGCCTACACGCGGTTGTGCCTTGTTTCCCACGCCTGTCATGCGGCAGTGGTGGGCCATGCCCAGGCCACGTCCTGTCTAATCAGGTGTCGTCTCATCGGGCAGGGCGCATCCCATCAGTCAGGACGCGTCCCACCGCATTCCATCCGCATTGAATGGGGGAAGGGAGAGGGTTTTTCACTCCAATCCTTCGCCTTTCCCCAACTGCTGCGCCTCCCCTTTAAATAGGGGAAGGGAGAGGGCTTTCGTCCTGTTCCTTCGTCTATTCTCCAACTCCTGCCTCTCCTCCTTCTACCTTTTCACCCAGTGCGTTCGTGCGTCGCGACGGTTCCTAAGCGAGAGAGAGGGTAAAGCGAGGGAGAGGAGAAAACTCATAGATCCATTCGTGAATCCAGAGCACAATGTTGAGCTAGAGGCCATCGAACATGGATGAGTCGGTGCTGGCCGCCTTCGTCGAGAAGGGGCTGCTTCCACCGAAGGAGGTGGTGCACTGGAGGGCCCCTGCGGGGGAGGCTTTTCCACGACCTCGGGCCGGCGAGGTTGTCTCCTTCCTCGCCTTCCATGAGCGCGGGCTGGGATATCCCACGCACTGGTTCCTGTGCGGGCTCCTCAATGAGTGGGGTCTGGAGCTGCAGCACCTTAATCCGACTAGGGTGCTGCACGTCACTGGCTTCGTTACCATCTGCGAGGCCTTCCTCGGGATGGAGCCGCATGTGGATTTCTTCCAGCGGATCTTCACCGGGCAAGCCTTGTCGGAGGGGAAGCCGACCAAGACCACGCCGATTGGTGGCTTCGCCTTGTAGAAGAAGCCGAGTTCGTCGGGCTCCTACCCCGCATACACCCCCTATGACTCCAATCGGGGGTGGCATGGGGAGTGGTTCTACATAAGGAGCCCAGTGGAGGCATCGTTCCCGCCGTTCACCGAAAGGAAACCGAAGAGGCAGGAGAGCTAGTCGTGGGGCCCCTCCAACCGATTGAACAAGCTGGAGATCATCGGGGTGGAGCTCCAGAAGCTGTTGCAGCATGGCCTCGACGAGGTGCGGGTGTTCTACACCTTCTTCCACTGTTGGGTCGCCCCGCTAACAGAAAGGACGCGACCGATGTGGCTGTACTC